CACTTCTCAGGGTAACATTTCCTGGATGCCCAAGCCTTTCTTTGAAATCTGGGTGGAAGACTCCATGACCCAACAATTCTTGTATTATGTATGCCTGGAGGACCAGCATCATGTGGATGATGTCAAGGTCTACCACCAGCTCAAAGAGTGGCCCTGTTCTCTTGGGCCATGGTCTCAGTGCCTGAATGGCTTAGCAAGTTAAAATGAATCCCAGGGCCACTTCTTTGGGTAGTCCTCCTCAAATGCAGGCCTAGGGGCTCGCTTCTCAAATGAAAGTTTTATACTTTTCCATTCTCAACCCTGAAAAGAGTAGGGCTTTGCTGATTCTTGAGATTCCCTCAAGAGATCTTTCTTCTGTACTCTGTGCAAAGTACTGTGTTTCTTTCTAGTGCTCCTAAATTCTTCAGCAAGTACACCTCCTTTGGATCCGACTTTACACTTTTTTGTGGGGGTGCCAAAATTTAAATTTTTCAAATCTTTCTATTCTGATTTCTTTCTACTAATTCTTACAATAAATCTGGTCATAAGCAGCCATCAGTACCCAATTCACATTCTCAGCATTTAGTTGCCTTGATATTTCATTCACCAGGCTAACTATTATGTCGCTGTTAAACCCCACCTCACAGAAAGTTTTAGAGCATGAACAAAGCATAGACAAATTCTTCATCAGCAAGTCTTGGATGCCTTCTAGTCCAATTTCAAATACTCATTCCCATGAAACCCCACGAACCTGGCCTTTACTATCCACATTCTTATCAGTATTCTGGTCTTTCAAACTCAGAACAACATCACTCATCAATCCTTGCATCTACAAATCTTCCAAACTTCTCCTAGAAACTAGTTCCAAAGGCTTTTGAATAGATGATTATGTATAGTCACAGCAATGGCCCTGCATTTCTGGTACCAATTTTATTTATATTGGAAAGCTTTCTTGTTTCTGGGAGAAAACTGAATATCCATAACTTAAAAGAAAAGAGGTTTAATTTGACTCAGTGCTTCAGAGGTCTCTGTGTATTTGCTGGTTTCAAGGCATGCACATCATGGCAGAAGAACATGGTGTATCAAAGCTGCTCACTTCACACTGGCTAAGATGTCAAGGGAAAGAGCACCAGCAGGAGACTTGCCCTCTAAAGGCATACCTCCAGTGACCTACCTCCTCTAACTTGGCCCAACCTCCTAACAGCACACATGATGTATTAACTTCTATGAATCACTTAATCAAATGGACAACTGAGACTGACTAGCACATAGAGGGATCCAAAAAATGTACAAATAAAATAAGGTAGCAGACAAAATGTTTAATCATCTTTTATGGTCTAATTCCTCAAAGCGGTCACTACTTTTCCTACAAGTCTCTAAAAACATTACATGACATCATTGCTTAAGAGTAAAATTTCCTCCTAAAATAATCATTTTGTAATTGTTTCTTGGTAGTGTACATTGTGCTAATGTTCCCCAAATCCTTTCCACCCCTTTCCCTGTATTGCTGCCATGAATTACATCTACACCCAGTGGCTCATCATTAATTAATCAAATATGGTAATTCAATTTTTCTTGCCATAGCAATTTGTTTGTAATCAAATACAATGTAATTGAAACAGCAATACATTCATGATACTGTTCCAACCAATGAGACCTGAGGACAATTAATTGAGGAATTCTGAGGGAAGGCACTTTTTCCTTCTCAGAAGGAGTCTTCAGGGGTTAGATATTTCTCTTTCTGGTATCTGAGAAAATGAACTCTAGAACTGGTACATCCATTTTGCTACCATGACAGAAGCCAGCCTCAGAAGACAAGAGATACTACACAAGGTTAATGGACGCAAATCAGTTCTGAATTCTACCCTGAGATGGACCTTACTTTATGTGAGCCAAACAAGCCTATTTCTTTTACATTTCAGTTTGAATTAGCTTTTCTATTGCTTGAAATATATAATGCAACACAAGTGATAATCATTCACTTTGTTTTTTAATTTCCAAATGCACAAATATAGCCAGGTCCTATTACTATCATATCTCAAATGTCACATAATTTAGATCATACCTCAACACATGAGAGACTTTAGAATAGGCATGTGCAACCCATAGCCCTAGAGGCTGGTAATGTGGTCCCACAAAATCACAAATTTTAACATTATTATGTTCTTTTTTGTGGTATTTTTTCATCACTGTATTGTATGGTACCTGTCCTGCACAGGCAAAAGTGGAATGCTGGGGAAGGAAGGGCCTGGTGCAGCTCTAACTCTGCCTCATGTGCTGCCACAGTTAGCTGCATGGAAATCCGTGTTTATCAGACATGATACACATTTGTGTGACTTAATGAGTAAATAATAATAGTATAATAATAGTATTTCAACCTTCCTACAGTTATGTGTGTCCGTGAAGACAGGCAGGCATTTAAGAACACACACAGGTTTTCTTATTTAATTATTAAACTTTGGTTTTCTGTAGTATTTGATTGTAGTGTTAAGTAAAAAGTATAAAAACAACTTTTGTTACACACACAAATACATATTATATATATAAACTATATTATTTCTTTTATATGTGGTCCAAGACAATTCCTCTTTACCCAGTCTGGCTTAGGCAAGCCATAAGGTTGGACACCCATGTTTTAGAGAAAATAGTGAATAGAAAAAAACATAGGAATGTTCTCTAACGTAAATAGAGAAAACATAGGAATAAAAAGATAATTAAAGATATCTCCTTAATTCTAACATATAGGAAAAATATATGGCCTTTTGCACACATATTTTTATTTGTTGCTAATGTTGTTATAACTAAGTGAATAAAATATCTTAAGATTTATGTTCCAAGGCTACTTACAAGGCTCCTGACATGATGTGTAAGACACTCCATTGGCATGATCTCATGAGTGTATTAAATCTAAGACTACGATGCGACTTTTAAGACCTTTCCCTGTCTGAATCCTCCCTCTGCTCTCTGCCTATGGTCAGTCCTCACCAACCCGCCTGCCAGTCAAGATTCTACAACTCTGCTCCTCTCCCCATCTACACCATTTTAATTTTTACACCAATGGTTTTTGGTTAAGTCCTTTCTCTTCCTCTCCAAGAACAGTTCGTTTCTCTATACATGAGCTCTACCACTTTATTGAGCTCTACTACTTTATTTATCTCTCTAGCTTTGATGATATATTATTGAACACTTGCCTTTAATGCCTTAATTTCTCTCTGTAATTGAGTTGTCAAATCCTCAAGGGCAGGAGTTGATATTTATTGGTATTTATTTCTGTTGTAACAGCCCTAAAGCCTCAAGTATTGTATAGCATAGTGGACAGATATTAAACATTCACTTGATTAGTTGAGCATATTTTGTACCACTTATCTTACCAAATCGGTTTCATGGATTTAGAAAAAGAATTAGAGTTAAGACAAAATTGGCCTAAGCTTTCCAGATTTCACAAATAAAATACAGAATGCTCAGTTAAACTTGAATGTTGTGTAAATAAAAAGCTGGTTTTTTTTTTTTTTAAGTATAAATATATCCCATTCGTTTGGGGGACATAAGAGCACTAGAAAATTGTCTATTTTTAAATTAAAATTCAAATTCAATTTGCTGTTCTGTACTTTACACAGCAGTACTAGATTGGTCTGATCTGAGACAAAAATAGTTGTACTTATTTTTCTAAATTAGAACAAATTACTTCATTCATGATTTGTTTAGCCTTACACGGTTTTGCTTATCAGGTTGTACAGTACATGAAGTTCTCTTTGTTGCTCCACCTGCCACTGGCAAAAAGAGCCTGAGTCTCCATTGTGTGAGAGTCACCATGCGTGTGTGTGTCCACAGGAACCAGGACAAACGAGGTGCCCACCCAACCCCGGATTTCCTACTCTGGTGAGGCAGACAGCTCACTGCAGCCCAGCCTTCTTTGATGTTGATGCTGCCACTAATGCAAGTGACCTGACACTGCCCTACGGAGAAAAGATCCATGATGAGGCTGCTCCAGCAAGGTGTCGGAAATGAGTCATATTGTTTTTCAATTACACACCAAATAGTTCCTAATTTTCAAGCATTATGTAAACACTATCATTTATGATCCTAAGTGAAAATAATTATTCATAATTTGTTTTGGTCAACACATTGGAATCTCAGATTTCCATAATGAAGTTCCAGTTTTTATTGTCAAAGATTCTTTTCTTGTTACTGAATATTGATGATTTTTCTTTTTCTTTTTAGCGAAAGCAATGGAAATGTTACATGACATCTTTTTGTCTTCTCAGGTTAAGCCCTTCACACGTAAATGCCATGTTGACTACTTAAACTAAGGGGCTTGTTTAAGTGATTGTCAGGATCCACTGGTTTAGATAGCACCTTTCTGCTGAGTGGCTGTGGTCTGCTCTAGCTCATCTCTATGATCCAGTCTTTCCCGTAACAGAGAAGAGAATGATGGTGTTACAATGACAGTGTGTATGTGTGTGAAGTTGGATCATTTAAACCTTTAATAAACTACTTTTATTAGCTACATGTCACAAAAATTTAGTGCTATTTTTAATAATCAAATATTTTAAATCTAAGAATAAAACATGCTTTTTATAATAGCTTTAACTGAATATGCATGTGCGTCTGTGTAAAAGTATTTCTCAGATTTAAAACATATAGCATGAAATATTAAAACAACATCACTTTAACATGCCACATATTGATTTTCGTTCTAGAATAGTGTCATATTTTCCTTTGTTTCCTAAACGTATGCTATTTATCTCAACCCTGCAATCTGTATTTTTCTGGAGGCCACTTCAAAATAACCAGGTGTAAACCATAAAATGATCTTCTTTGGTTTGTTATCAATATAGCACATAAGATTACAAATGGAGTCATATTAAAATTCGACAAGAATATTCGGGGAAGTTATATTAATTCCAGTGATTTGCCAATTACCCAGGCAGAAGGCTACAGTTAACATTATCATTCTGTGCAGTCTTTGGAAATTATGAAATCCTCATTGACAGTGTGTGCTCTAGGTTCTCAGAAATTACCTTGGGTAGCTCTTCAATTTGATTGGCATCCAGATAAAGCTCTTCTAATGTTCGCTCAAAGTTAAAGACCTCCTTTGGCACCTGCTGCAGGCTGCAATGGGAGTAGTCTAACACTGAGATGATTTCCTCTTCACCCCGGAAACATCGGCATGGCACCAGGCGGCCAATGATCTTCCGTTTGGTGGTCATCTCCAGGCACTGCACTAGAGAGAGACAGAAAAAACTGTTTTAAAAAAATTACAAAAACAAACAATCACAACCCCAAAATTGTGTGATTAACTGCCTTCCAAAGGCATTCTTATGACATTTAGAGCTTTAAAATTTAATTCTGGTATCCATTTTATAATTCTAGAGTGCTTTACAGTTTATATAGGACATACATATACACTGTGTCACTGAATCTTTACAAAGCCCAATGAGCTATGTGAGATAGGTTTTATTCCAATTTAACAAAGAAATGCATGCAGACAGGGTTAGAGTCTTTGCAATATCACATATTTTGGAGTGGCAGAATCAGAGCAGACCATGCTCCCTGATGAGTTCAAGTCTATTATCTTGACTATACTTTCACTTGAAAGACGGATCTATAACATGTTTTAAGTTTTATACAAATTGCAGTGTTGAAAGGAAAATTCCAGACATCTGTTTCATTTCTGCAAAACAATATCCAAATGTCACCTGCAGACTTGTGATGTGCCGTTGTTGACTCCCAAATTCATTATATCAATAAACAGATACTAGATAACCACTGCGTTCCAGGAACTGATCTAGACTCTCCAGATGGAGAGAAAAATTGAACAGGCTCTTCTACTGGAGCTGCAGCTTAGAAATGGATGTTATTCATTCCAGAAAATTGGTCTTCCTTTATGAATTTTATGATTTGGGTGCAAGAGAACAACTTGTAATCATTATAGAAATTCCTGTGATAACCGTGACATCTTTTTCCTATTCTTCTAGGTCAAAATGACCAAATGTCATGCAGTCTTGCACAGACTTGTATCAAGGCACTTTTCATACTTAACCTACTACTTTTCATGTCATTTATTCCTGGACTCTTAGATCTTGGGACTGTGTTTTGCTCATCCTTGTATTTCTGTTGGTGCCTAACCCATCACAGATATTCACTAACAACTGTACATTGAGCAAATAAGACATGAGTGAATAAATGAATATGTTTGAGACTCTCTGTTTGCACAAGAAACTTCCCATTCTAATGAAAAGGTCACTGTGCCTGAATGTGTCCCCAGGAAGAATGAGCACATTGCTTCCCAATGATGTGTGCTACTTCTCTAGGTTTTAGGCAAGTTCTTGGGAGAGATCGTGCCTTACTATTTAATCCATGATACACAATCTGGTATGCCAACAACAAAATTTGTTTTCAATGAATACTACTTTAAAACTTGTATTTAATCTATTAATTTAGTTTTATTTAGAATATAAATTTATTGGTGAAGTAGAAATTAGTGATATTTTGTTGAAGACTATGTAGAAGTTTGTTTTCTTTAAATTGATTAGCTTAGGTCACATTTGAAGGCAACCAGGTAGAATACATTTAACAACTGTAAGATCTCAGTCTAAACCATTCTTCTTCCTCCTTTAACTTCTCAAATGAATGAAAGAATATTCTGGGGGCAGGTTGATGAATAAGCACTTACAAACATTTGCTTGTATGTTGCAATCTGTAGATGGCTAACTAAAAGCACTGAAAAGATGACTTTGCCCCTCCATTATTTTTTATCTCTCAAACTCCTATACTTCCCATTTCTAGGAGTCAGAATCCTATGATTTTGCAACTGTGGTTTTACCTGACTTTACCTGAAATTCTTGATTATAGAACTGATGCCTCCCCATCTCTACTTGGGATCCAAAACCTATTAAGCAACCCATTAATGGTCCCAGTAGATATGTGATGTCTATTAGGCACCTACTAAATGGATGCTAAGGGCTTTGCTGTTTTCGGGGTGGGTGGTAATAGCTTAGTTTATGGTAGCAGTGAGAATAAAGAGAAGTTATGGGCTAGGAAGACAGATGAGGAGGCAAATTCACAGACCTCACTATGGATTAAAGGGGAGGTGGAATAGGAGGCTGTGGAGAAAGGAAGATATCTTGAAAGATTTTCAGGTTTTTAACTTGAATAAGTAGTAGTAAGATTGACTGCTAGCAGTGAGGCCGTACAGCTGACCCAAGACATACATGCTCTGCATTTCTGACTCTCAGATGGGTGATGAATCTATTGTTCATGTTCCTTGTTGTTCAAAGTCTCTCACTCATACTTTTGTGCTGGACCATGTGGCTGTTTCTCTAGATCTATTTATTGCTGCCATTGCACATACTGTTGTTGTTTTTAATAAAGAAGGAGAAGGAGAATACCCAAGCCTGCACCTGCTCCATTTGGCCAGTGTCCACCATCCATTAAAACTTTTGAAATTTAAATCACTTGGGACTGCTTTCCCTTTCATTAATCCAAAATGTAAGCTCTTTTAGTCATCTTCTTTATCTCTTTTCTCCTGCTGGACAATGTACCAAACTTGTCCCCTATCCCAGTTTCTGCCTTCCACTGCTCCCCCTGAACTCATACCTTGTGCCTTACATCATCAACTCCTGTACTGACCCTCCATCCTTTTATTGAGTGCTCATCCTTCTGCTAGCAAATAAAACTGGCTTCTTCCTGAGGTTTTTTAAAATATTGTAACTTTTAAAAATGGAGCATGTTGGGCTGGGGATGTGGCTCAGTGGTAGAGTTCTTTCCTTGAATGCATAAGGCCCTGGGTTTGATCCTGAGCACTACCAAAGAAAAGAAAGAAAGAAAGATGGAACATGTTGACTTTTTTCACATTACATGCTGATTAACCCACTTGTGCGCTGAAAGAACAGATTTTTCTCCCCCTTGCTAGCCATGTAAAGCTGTTAGTCTTCTCTCACTCTGTAAAACCCTATTCCTTTGATGGCATCATTATCTAGTATCTTTCTACTCTTTCTCCTACTATTCATGTACCAATCCCTTGAATGCTTCTTTTCATTCACTGATGGCCTTGATGCAACCAAGTGGGGGTTGGTATTTTTTAAATAATAAATTCTCCTGTGGTGGATAAACTTAATTGTGTCAACTTGATTGGCTTTGGAACTACCCAAGCATTAGAAAGGCACACTTCCATGGAAATCAGTATAGAGATTCCTCAAAAAAACTAAACATAGAAATTCCATTTGACCTAGCTATTCTGCTACTAGGTATCTTCCCAAGAGTTAAAGACATCATGCCACAGTGATGTATGCATACCCATGTTTATAGCAGCACAATTCAGAATAGTTAAATCTTGGAAACAGCCTATATGTCCATCAGCAGATGAATAGATAAAGAAAATGAGGTATTTACACACAATGGAGTGCTACTCTGCTATCAAGACAGACAAGTTTGAGTCATTTGTAGGAAAATGGGTGCACCTCAAGACTGTAATGCTAAGTGAAGTAACTCAGACACAGAAGCTTGAATATTGCAAAGTTTCCCTTATATGAAAGATTTAGTATATACGTAAAGTACAAAATAAGAGAAAGGTAATTGGAGAAAAGAGAGAGAAAGGTATTGTAATCTAATGTGGACAATGTATCTAAAAATACTTTCCCTGAGTTCAATTGTCATGTATCTTATATGTTCTTTGGCCTATTAGTCTGATTTTCAATCTGTATATATGAGAATTAACTTTGCAAGGTCTTATACAATAAATAAATCTGATGCTGGAAAAATAAAAGAGAAGTAAAAGGAAGGGGGAAATAGAATTGAAATGTGCTATGTATGTGTACCAATTTCCTACAGTGAGTTTAATCATTATGTGTTATATACTAAATGTTATGTGTTACATACTATGTGGATACATACTAAATACAATGTTAAAATGTAAAAAATATTTTTCAAAGTTAAAAATTACCCATAGACAATAAAATAAAATAAATAAATAAAATAAAATTATCCTCAGAAAATAAGAGGCACATTGGTTAAAGAACACACACTTCTGCTTGTGCCCGGGTGGGTCAC